CTCTAGTTTCTCTTTCATTTATAATCTCCTCCACCATATCCAATCTGCTTTTAATTCCCTCCATTGTGTCCTTCAATGATTGGATCTCTGACCGGAATCATTCCTGAGTTCTTGAATATCTTTCCATACCTCCATTAGCATGTTAATGATTTTTATTTTGAACTTCCTTTCAGGAAGAGTTATGAGGTCCATGTCATCTTGCTTGGGAGTTACATTAATTTTACTCTGGACCAGGTGCCTTTGGCATTTCATATTTGTATATAGTGCCATCTAGTGTCTGGAAGCTCTACTGTCCGGAGCTCCTCAGCCCCTGAAGCAATGTCAGGGGTCACCGGGGAGTGGGATTGGTGCCTGGGGGGAGGAAAGAACTGTTTCCTGCTTCCCAGCTGCTATGCCTGTCTCCACCGCCTGAACCAGTGAGCGGAGCACACAGTTATAAGCTTTTGTCCCAGAGCAGCCGGATATGGATCCCTGCTTTCCACAAGAGGCTGGGATCTCAGTCTCTCCAGGAATTCTGCCTGTCTTAGCTTTTCAACCCCGTAATCACAAGAGTATCATGAAAGCACCATGAAATGTAGGTTTGTGCTGGGTATTCAGCAGTCCCAGGCCTTCCATTCCCTCCCTGCTCAGTTTCTCTTCCTTCTGCTGGTGAGCTGGGGTGGGGGAAGGGCTTGGGTCACACCGGGCCACAGCTTTGGTATGTTACCCTGTTCTGTGAGGTCTGCTCTTTTCTCCAGATGTATACAGTCTGGTGCAGTCCTCTTTCCTTTTGCTCACTCAGGATTAGTTGTATTAATTATATTTTCATATTATATGTGGTTTTAGGAGGAAGCCTCTGTCTCACCTCTTATGCTGCCATCTTTAATCCTTTTTCAGCAGCACACTTTTCTTATTCTGCTTTATTGTGCTTTTTTCCTCATCCTCTCTTCCTTACTTTCCATCTGACCTTTTATAGATATCAGTAGCCTGTCAGAATGCTCCTTTGCTTTTGTGAGATGAACTGCCCACTCAGAGCATGAGATAGGCAATCTTTGCATCACATTTTTTCTAAGATGTCACTGAGTTGGAGCTGGTGGACTGCTGCTCATTAGCCAAGAAGGTGGTTTAGTTTTTGGAGTTTTGAGGTGCTTCATTTTCAGGACTGAACCTAGAAGACTAAATGGCCCTTCTTAACAGCAGGTTGCTTATCAGAATCACATAAATAGTATGTGCTCAATGAATTGATTTTTAAATTTTTAAAACTAATCAATACTTGTGGAATACCCATAATATAATGAATATTCTCAGCATGTGCAACCATGAGTAGAGTGTTAAAATGGGGAGGGAATCTGGCTGTAAACTTTCTCAGAGGCCTTACTACCTTGAGGAGGTCTGTTGACCTCTTTGTGTCCTCATTTCCTATCTGTGTAATTGGAAGTCTGGAATGGGGGATTCTTGGGATAGCCTGGGGCTTGAATAGTCTATAATTCAATCTTTGAAGACAAGAATCTTTGCAGTTTAATGCAGGCAGTCAACTAATTTAAACCTCAATTCATATCAATTTTAAGAAACTTGGATTGAATGTCTATTAGATGTCAGACTCTGTGATAGGTGCTAAGGATACAAAGAGAATTAAAACCCAGTCCTTCTGAAAACATTAACTCACAGCCCAGTAGAGAGAGTAGGTAAAAAGAGAATGACAGTGCAGTGAAAAAGTTGCAATAAGGGATTTCCATGTCAGGAGACTGGGGATACAAAGAGAGCGGGGACCATCATTGCTCAAGAGCCCTTGAGCTAGACTGCAATAAAAACATAGTTCTCTGGGTAGGTGTGGGAAGGAAGAGTATAATATAGATGAATAACTCCAGCTACTGTAACAAACAATCCCCCACAGTGTAACTTTATTTCCAGTTTATGCAAAATCCAATATGGATGTTTCTGGTCAGTGAATGTTTCCCATGTGGTTATTCAGAAACCCAGGTTCCTCCCATCTTGCAGCTCCACCATCCTTCTCCTGGAGCAGTAGGGACCTATGCTGGATGCCCTGCATTCAGCAGGCAGAAGTGGGAGAGGAAGACTGGGGGTTCACATGGGAAATGTGTGTGGGCCAGGCTGGAAGTGGCAGGCATCGTGTCTGTCCATGCTTTCCCCTGGCAGAATGGGGGGCTGTGGATAAAGTGAAGGTGCCTGTGGCCAGGATTCTCACCTGACCCTGGTTGGCTAGCTCACTACACATGTGTGGGCAATACGTCATTATTGACTTTATGTAAAGAGCTCCTCCAAGTGCTCTGCGTGACACGGTGGCATGGTGGCACAGGTACAGTAGAGCAGGAGCTGGAGTGGTGGCAGCACCGAGGACAGAGACTGAGATGGCTGCAGGGCAGAGAGGCCCAGAGGCAGAGACCGGCTTGCTGCATGCAGACTTGCTCTGAGTGGATGGGATTCTAGTGACTGACCTGCCACCGTGGGAATAAATTTGGGTATAACCCTTTCACCCCAAGAATGTCCTACTGTCATTTCTTTGGTCACACTGAATTCATAGTGAACTTATCAGGGGCTGAAACCCATTGGCAAGACAGGAGTGCAAGCCCACCTAAATGCAAGGGAGGCTGGGGATGTGGTCTACCTGAGTGGTCACAAGGAAAAGGAAATGTTTTGGAAAACACAGCAGTCTCTCTAAAGGCATCCTGCAGAGTTTGGGCTGTGAGCAGCTAGATTTCTCTTGGACCAATCTAATGGAAGTGTAACAGTAGATAACTGTTGAGATTGGAGCTGCTGACCAGGGACTTGCATTATCATATTGTGGATGCTGGGAGACAGCTCACCATGGTGTGGTTCGTTCCAGGATGCCCATGTGAGAGCACAGTTCAGGCAGTTACCATGTTCTGAAATGTAAGAGGGAGCTGGGTGGAGAGGGTGAAAGCCTAGAACTCAAAGGACCAGCCTTTTCCACTGCCCTTCCCACCCACAGGCTGGGAAGCTGATGGAGAACTCATGAGCATCTGTCTGACAAATGGAAGATAGCTGAGTCCTATGCTTATAATCTGCCTTCTTCTCTCCACAGTGACGCTTTCAGCAGCCCCTCCCTCTTACTTCAGAGGATTCACGTTAATTGCCCTGAAAGAGAACAGAGAGGGTGATAAGGAAGACGACCATGCTGGCACCTTTCAGGTAAGACCCCTGGGCTTAGGTAGAAGCCAAGTGAAAGGTGGACGTGCTGAGGAGCCTGAGAGGTGCAAGTGTCTGAGGCAGCTCTCTGTGCAGGTCCCTTGGCCATGGGTCCGGTGGGCCCATCTACTTGAAAGCCCCATAATGGAGGCAGCAAGTGCCTCAACCCTTCGGGGCTGGCCTCTGGGCAGGGCTCTTCTCCGGGCCACCAGAGCCTTGGGCAGCAGACAGTCCAGCTCGGTGAGAGCGCAGAGAATCCCGGTGAGGCCCCGCTGTCTTTCCTGTGCAGCCATTTCATGACTGACTGGCAGCTCTCAAGTGTAAACGGAACGTGAGCTTAGGATGGCCAGGCTGGAGGGAGTTCAAAGCACAGGAGAAGGGCTGTTAAGGGAATGAAGAGATTGATTTATAAGGGGAGATTAAAAGAATTAAACATGCTTTGCTTGGCTAAATGAACAGGGCTGAGTTTAAGAGGTGGTAACGGTCTTTAAATGTCGGTTCTCGCAGAGCAAACTCCTCCATGGGAGGCTTCTTTGACTTTGTACAAAAGGGCACAGCAAGACGAAAGTGGGTCAAGAGAAAAAAGGGAATCTCAAAGGCGAGGGCCCTGACAGTGAGTCATATTTCACGTGGAATATTCTTCCAAGGGAAGTGGCAGGAACACCATCCCCTTTCCGAGGTTTAGAAAGAGGCCGGCAAGTTGTCAGAACACGTCCCAGAAGGGCTGGGGTGATCCTCGGAGGGAGTCTGGCCAAATTTTCTCTTTTCTCTAACCATTTCTCATCTCGAATTTCCATTGTTCTGGAATCCATTTTTGTCTGGTATTTGCTAACTCAGAAGGAAAAAAAAAATTCAAGAATAGTTAAACCCATAACTCATTACTCTGGTACAATTTTGGGTTCCACAGAGGATCCTGCCCCAAAATCTTTCCCATCCAAAGACATCTTTAAATCCCCTGTGGCCAGGTTGTAATTTTTAAATCCTGTGGTTTTAAAAACATTGTTTTTATGATTTGTATCCATTGTTTATGATTCTGGGCTTCTGGCTTAGTGTCAATTCCGTACTCAGTGTACTGTCCTACGTACCTAAATGGCAGGAATCTTCTTGGCATGTATCAGGAGTTACCCAACAATAATACCAGTGATGGCCAGTATTTATTGGGTACTTATTATATGCCAGATACTAGGTTAAGTGCTTAACCTTATCCTGGTTTATCTTATCTTAATTAGCTTACCTTATCTTGGTTTAATTCTCAAAACAGCCAAGTAGATAGGAACTATTATCCCTGTTTTATAGATCAGGAAATTGAAACGAGGGAGATTAAGTCACTTGCCAGGAGGCAGTAAGGCCAGGCTCCTCTATCAGGTGTCCTGGAGAGTAAATCACTTTCTTGTGGTATTGAATGTGTCAGATATGCTCCTGGCCCTGTTTGGAGAGTGTGTTGGTAAGGTTGTCCTTATAAGGAAGGGAAGATACATGCATTCATTCATCCCAGAGAGCATTAAAATATACTCCTTATCCTGTGCTAATTTACCTGGAGGTATGGATAGTTATCAGATTCAGGCAGCTGAGGAATCTGGGTACTTGAGTGTCAGGAGGGGTAAAGTTCTAAGGAGGGAAAGATGTTGGGTGTACAGGGCAAGATGATCTTAATTTTCACCCAAACAAAAGTTACCTGCTTTAAAATGATGCTTAGAGATATATAACCAAGAGTTGAAAGCAGAGTTAAACAGGTATTGGTACACCCATGTTCATAGCATCATTATTCCTAGTAGCCAAAAGGTGGAAACAACCTGAGTGTCCATTGATGGATGAATGAATAAACAACACTGTAATATACACACTGCAGAATATTATTCATCCTTAAAAAGGAAGGAAATTCTGACACATGCTCTAACATGGATAAATCTTGGAGACATTATGCTAGTGAAGTAAGCCAGTCACTGAAGGACAAGTATGTGATCCAGTTCTACAACTTTCTTAGAGTGCTCAAATTCATAGGAACAGAAAGCAGAATGGTGGCTGTTTCCCACATCAAAGAATGTGGGAAAGGGGGAAATAGGGAATTATTGATGAACAGGTGTGGAGTTTCAGTTTGGGAAGATGAAAAACGTTCTGGAGATGGATGGTGGTGATGGTTCCACAACGGTACAGATGTACTTAATGCCACTGAACTGTACACTTAAAAATGGCTCAAATGGTAAATTTTGATATATATAGTCTTCCACAATGAAAAAAAAAATAATGCCTGAGTTAGGCCCAATGGGGACATGATGTAGAGTTAGGCCTGATGGGGACATGGCTTCTTTCTTTAATGGCATTCTGTTTTTAATGCAATTAATGACAGCACTCTACAGCTCTTGTTTCTGCTCAGCTAAATCTTGGTCTTTGCATCTGATTGGTAAGCACACAGTGCTGCTCACAGGGGGCAGTGAGTAAATGAGTGAGTAAATGAACAACTTATTCTTCTAGTGTCCATAACTCAGTCCTATCTGGAATGGTTTGGAACTGTCTTTCTGTATCGAGCCTTCTCTTGGAGCTTCTCACATCCTCTGTGGCTGGTCTCTGGACCAGCAGCATGAGCACCAGCTGGGAACTGGTTAGAAATGCACCACCTCAAGCTCCTCCCAGACTGAGTCAGAAGCTCTATGGGTGGGGCCCCACCACCTGTGTTTGAAACCCTCAGGGTGAATCCAGGGCTCACTTGAGGTTGAGAACCAGTGCTGAAATGAGGCAGGGATCCGGCTCATCCACCTGAGCAACTCCACTATCACATCAACACCTCTCTCTGCCTCTCTGCCTGTATATATGTCTTACTGCTTCTACTAGCCCCAGGGCTTCAAACCGGGAACCAAACATGGAAAAGGCCTAGGCTACAGTAACAATGCTTGTGTGCCAGATACTGTTGTAAGTGGTTTACATTTATTAGCTGATTTAATCCTCGGGGCAACGCTATAAAGTGAGCATTAATGTTCTGTTTTTCACAGATGAGGGGCTTGTAGCACAAAACAATTAAATACCTTTTTTTGGAACACTCAGCTCTAAGGAATAAACCTGGAATTCAAACCCAGGAAGCCTGGCTCCAAGCCCCTGCCCCAACCCACGGTGCCTACTGCCTCTCAGTGTGTACATGGTAAGTGGAAAAAATGAGGGTCCACCTTGACTCTCTTATGGCAGTGGTCTTTCTGCCAAGGGCTTTGTAGGATTATCCTACTTAATTTTTGTAGCAACCCTTAAGTCCATATTGTTATCCCCATTTCCAGAGGATGAAATTGAGTCTCCGGGGAGTTAAGTGAATCGATCAGTGAAAGGAAAGGAGCGACACATAGCAGCAATTCACCGGAGAGTTCCGCTTTATTAGGGAAAGGTGCTGGGTTATATAGGAAGGGGCATGAATTGATTGAGGTGTCACTTCTACAGGGCTGGTGGCTGTTGGCTAGGTGCTGGGATTGGGAGGGGGGGCGAGAGGTGATTGGGCTTCAGGTGGCGCCGGCGGGAACTGAGGACCCCGAAGAGAAGCCGGAAGTTTGCCATCTTACTGGTGGGGACCCTTCATTCCCCCCTTTCTCCTCTATGGGTTTGTGGACGTTGCTTTCTCTCTGGCTGCTTCCTGCTGAACAGGGGCGGAGAAGGGAGTGAGGGCTTGAGGATTGGGAGGAAAGGGTTGATAGGACTCCCCGCAGTAAGGACGAGTAGATGTGGACTTCTTCAGGTTTGGAAATCAATGAAGGTTCCCTGTAACCATAGGTTGGCCAAGAGGATATGGGTGTCAGGAGCCAGGCGTCTGCGGCTATTGTTTCCAGGAACAGTTTCCAGTGGAGAGAGGGGTCCATCTCAGCGTGTGGTGAGGAGGTCACGTGAGGGTGAGGGATCTTCTGTGGCCAGAAGCTGGTAGTTCCTGAGTAAAAGCTGGTTGAAAGCTTGATTAGAGATTTTTCCGACTTGGGATTTGATGAACTTTATTATACAGGGTAAGAAGAGACAGGCGAGAAGAATGATTATTATGGGGCCTGCAATGGGCCAGAGCCAGGTGAGGAGGGGGTTTGTTAGTATTGAAGAGAATGGGTTGGAATTGGAAGCAGAGTGGAGGCTGGAGGCAAGGTCGGTGAGTTTGGTAATGTCAGTTTCTACAATGCCAGATTCGTTGATGTAATAGCAGCACTCTTCCCAGAGGAAGACGCAGGTGCCGCCCTTCTCGGCTGTAAGCAGATCTAGGGCCCGCCGGTTTTGAAGGGTGACTTTAGCTAGCGAAGTGACCTGTCTTTGGAGAGAGGCTAGGGAATCGGCAGTGGATGTCAGGGCTCCCTCAAGTTTGGCGTTGAGATCTCTAACTGCCTATAGAGAGTGACCCAAGGCTTCTCCCGAAAACCCTGCCCCAATGGCTGAGGTGATCAAAGAGCTACTGACCATGATGGGAAGGAAAGCAGCTCTTTTTGTGCGCGAGGGCAAGGGAGGTTGGAGCTCAAGGAATTCTGCCATGCTGTAAAGTGTAAACTGTGGGATTAGGGTGACGAGAATGCAGGGTGTATCGGAGTTGAGAGGCAGTGAGTTGAAAAGACTGCCATTACACTAAAAGAAGTGTCCCGGTTGCGTAAAAGTCTTAGAGCCGGAGGTAGGGGTGTAGATAGAGAGGCAGTGAAGTGCGCTGGAGGGGGGTGGAGTTGGGCTTACACAGTGGTGGATGGTGAGATTATCTGCGTATTCTGGTTCCCATAGGGGTATGTCTGCCAGGGGGCAGAGGGGTTGTCTTTCTGCATGGAAGGAGTAGTTGGAAATATTAAGGGGCACGGCGGCCAGCAGTGGGCGCTGTAGTGATGCGCACAAGAAACAATTGGCTGTGTTAAGGGTGTGGTTGAGAAAGATGGTGGTGTCCTGAATGAGCTGTAATGAAGAGTAGGAGAAATGGGAAGAGGGGTGGGGATAAGAAGATGAAGAGGCGCCGTCAAGAGTTTGGATAATGACTTTTTCGGAATGTCTGCTATCTGATGCAACTTGAGAGATCT